GCGGCAGATATGTTTCTTAAGGCGTGATTCCACTGAGGCAACATGTAGCATGCGGCAATGACCCATGCGACGAGACATAATTTTATGTTATGTAGACACTTGACATGTGTATTTCCTACACATTCATTTGTTTCCTTTCCGAAATAAAGAAACGCGGGATTGTTTCATATTGTTTTGTCGAATCGACAAGATTGAACGAGTAATGTCGTCAGTTAATGACAAGTAGCATGCTACAGATCGCATAGTGTTACCGAACGACATGTGGCATGTTACAAGTCGCATAGTGTTGCCACAGTGGAATCATACCTAAACGTTACCAGGGTAACAAAGCCTCTCCCATTGTTAAACCTTTTAGTGCCGAACGACGATATATCGTTGCGTATGCGTTGGTGCCTTATTCTTCGCATTAGGAGAAAGATCTGTCTCAAAAAAAAATTGTAAAACATTATAAAGGGTCTAATTTTATTGCAAAAAGCATTTAAAAAAGGAAAATCTAATTTTTCTTCCAGACCTAACCCAGACCTGACCCAAACCTAATACAGACCTAATTCAGATCTAATCCAGACCTAACCCAGACCTAATCTAGATCTAATCCAGACCTAACCAAGATCTAACTCAGATCTAATCCAAACCTAACCCATACCTATTACAGACCTAACCCAGACTTAACTCAGATCTTATCCAGACCTAACACAGACCTAACCCAGATCTAGGGTCTGGGTTAGGTCTGGATTAGATCTGGATTAGATCTGGGTTAGGTCTGGGTTAGATCTGGATAAGATCTGGGTTAGGTCTGGGTTAGGTCTGGATTAGATCTGGGTTAGGTCTGGGTTAGGTCTGGATTAACTTTGGGTTAGGTCTGGATTAGATCTGGGTTAGGTCTGGGTTAGGTCTGGATTAGATCTGGATTAGATCTGGGTTAGGTCTGGGTTAGGTCTGGATTAGATCTGGGTTAGGTCTGGGTTAGGTCTGGATTAGATCTGGATTAGATCTGGGTTAGGTCTGGGTTAGGTCTGGATTAACTTTGGGTTAGGTCTGGGTTCTAATCCAGGTCTAACCCAGACCTAACCCAGATCTAACTCAGATCTAATCCAGACCTAACCCAGACCTAACCCAGACCTAATCCAGACCTAACCCAGATCTAACTCAGATCTAATCCAGACCTAACCCAGACCTAACCCAGATCTAATCCAGACCTAACCCAGACCTAACCCAGATCTAATCCAGATCTAATCCAGACCTAACCCAGACCTAACCCAGATCTAATCCAGACCTAACCCAAAGTTAATTCAGACCTAACCCAGACCTAACCCAGATCTAATCCAGACCTAACCCAGACCTAACCCAGATCTTATCCAGATCTAACCCAGACCTAACCCAGACCTAACCCAGATCTAATTCAGATCTAATCCAGACCTAACCCAGATCTAACTCAGATCTAATCCAGACCTAACCCAGATCTAACTCAGATCTAGTCCAGACCTAACCCAGACCTAACCCAGACGTAATGCAGACCTAACCCAGACCTAACCCAGACCTAACCCAGACCTAATTCGTTATTCGCGAATAAAATTTCCTGTACCACGAATGCTCGGAAAATTTTCACCAAAGTGCAGTTTCCACTACTTTTCTGCTATCAGTTTTTCCGTCCAACGATTCGCGTGGAATGTTGGAACTTTCGAATTCTTCTTCCTTCGAACGAAAGTATTTCCGGCGAACACACGGAGGGGTTCTCACGGGGTTGTAAGTTTCCATCCCTTTCGCGGCACGGTTCCCTCTCTTTCCAGGACTTGGCTTTCGGTTATTAATGGTTTTCGCGAACTCGGTTCATTAAGGAGGAGCTCACGAAACTCCGCGGCACATTCATGAGACAGCCACCCCCTCGGTGGGAGGGTGAACGTGTCAGAAACGGTGGTTGTGCTCGAAATTAGTAACGTATATTATTTTCAAGGGCCGCGTTGCAACTTTCTCGATCCTTTAACCTCCTCCAATTCAAGTCATCTCGATATTTCGCTGAACAGTAACTTCCTGGTGACTTTTTTCCACATATTTTCCATCTTTGTAAATAATTAAGGGAGAATTCTCATGCAACAACGTTAAAATTAAAGTTTCCATTCTTATCTTTTTCGAAGTTTAAGGGACTCTTTTCAAGTTTCTAAAAATCCAGTACTGTTGGAATATTCAGTTTAAATCTCGCGTCTTTTTGTTACTAAGTAATGCCGCTAGATGGCGCTGCTGTTGGGCCAAGTTTTTCTCCCTTTCCTTTTGTTTTTTTTTTTGTAGTTTTTTGGTAATTACTTTACTGGTAAAACTTTAGCGATTCCTCATCAATTTCGATGACCTTGAAATATATTATCAAGGCCACTATTATAAAGATTTCTTCTTTATACATCTATTATAGTTAAATCTCGTCTCAGTTTCAATGAGGTATCCAGAAAGGGTTAAAATTTTGAGATAAATTCTTACAAAAAGAAAATAGAATTTTTGGTCAGGTTTCCCACCAATTTTTGATTTTTCTACTTTTTGACTTTCTTTTATACTTATATTGAAAATTTCACCACGGTCAACATATTCAATTTGAAGATTGCAATTAGTAGAAAGGTCGAGTTTAATTGTTAACGACAGTGGGTCGGAGAAATCGGTTTGAAATGAAAAAATTATAGTCACTGATCAGGTTGATCGTTCGCGAACCTCGTCGAGCTCTTTCAAAAGCAGCACCATATCAATTCCCCCCCCACCCTCTTCGGAGCTTTTTGCCAGCCGCTAGAATTACACGCGCTATTATCGCAAAAAGCTCGACGCAGATAAGAAGCGGGATCCGCGCGCGCGAGCTGGCCGCCGCTCGCGGAAAGTAAGAGATGAAGACATTATCGTGATCGTTGCCCGCGCGTTTAAGAGTCACAAGAACGCAAAGGAGAGGGAATGAGAAAGATGCACCTGTCCACCGTGTTGCATTAACAAGACTCGCGACCTGAACGCTTCGAACTGCTTTTGTAAAACATCTCGAATATCAATATCCACGGATTAATCGTTCTGTTCAGAATCGACTTGAAAAAGGCCCTTCGAACAGGTATAGGGAATCTGCGAATTTAGGAGAAATTTTAATGGGGGATTTTCGAGGCCAAAATAAGACAAAAGTCAATTATTCGTTAAAATGTTTTGTCCAGCAAGGATTTTGCTTGGAACTAGGTTACTCGGAGGCTCGCTGATCGCTAAGAACCGATACCTCGATTTGAAACCGAGCAAACCGTTTAAAATAAGACCATCGGAGACGGGCTTCGCGAGGAAACGCAACGAAGCCATTCAGAGTGCTCGTGAAAATGCTCGGGGCCCCGTTCGGAACGACATAATAATCAGTCCGGCACCTGAAGATTGCGAGGAGCACTGGTTCCCCCGATCTCCGGCCCTCTTTCCACCTAACTTATACTTATTATTGCATTATCTCCGTCTCTTCGGCCTAGAATGCCGCGAGAGACCGAAAAAGACCCGAAGGGAAATTGCTAACTCAGCGTAATCTGCAATTGTTAACTCAGTATTGTGGTTTCAAATGCACGGATACGCAGAAAATGTGTTTTCGAGCCTGGTTGTGTGGTGGCGCCACCTATGCACGCCACCAGAGGGCCCCGCGCTCTCACAAGCGCTCTCGCGACTTTCCAATATCTCAGTCGTCCAAGGCAGAGTGCTTATATCAACTAATTAATAATTAATAATTTACAAACTACGTACGTGTATGTCAGATTGCCACGGGAAAAGATTATGAATCATAAAATGGGTGAAGATAAGGCAGATCAGTTTATAAATGATTAAATTTCGATCTACTGATTTATTAGATCGTTTTGGTTATTACTAGACTGCGGATATTTATGCATTTATGGGGAATTTAGATTGTCAAAACACTATAGAATGCATTTAATATGCAAAAATATAACAAAAACTCAAGTAAGATAAGAATTATTGTATTTAGGGGTTGAAAGAACCCTCTACGAAGTTTGGTTATTACTATTGTGAGAATCTAAAGTACGCTTTGTGGTGGCGCCACCTATGCTCGCCACCAGAGGGCTTCGCGCTCTCACAAGCGCTCTCACGACCCCTCGATTACTATATATACACTCCTCGAACGACTTGACAATGTCCCAGTCGTGTAAAGAGTTTTTGGTGCCATTTTTCAATACAAAATATTAAATCTTGCCCCTAGTATAAGTAACTATTGTTAAAACTGTCTTGTAAGAAGCATTAAATGCGACTGACATTATTTAATGTTAAGATTACTCGAGCTCTATGTTGAGCCATTAGTTCATTTAGGGTTATTGTACCCTTCTGTATATATATTTATAATTGTTTTATTGGCACAATAAAAGATTTTAAGAAAAGAGTAATTCTCGTGAAGAAAATTCTCATTTTTCTCGTTGAGACTACATTTCGTAGCATTTTTTTTTCTGATTATATGAAATATATTTTGCACATAAGTAATATAAAAATGTGATAATATATTTTAATTCTTTCGACTGCTGTGTATATGTGTACCATTAAAAAATCATAATGGAAATTTATTGGTGCACAAATCAGCCATATAGTTTCAGAAATTTCATCTACAACGGATGAAAAAATTCCGAGAAAAATACATTTGAACTTTCATACTAAAATTAAGTAATAAATTAACGGAAACATTGAACAATATCTGAAAAAAAATGGATTTTTTTAAAATTTCACAGAGATTAATGGATCAAATGGACGATTGTGTTATAATCTGGAGAATGATTTTGTTTTAAATCGTTAAATAAACAATAATATCAACCAAGAATTCAGTCGTGAAAATTGAATTGTAAATTTAATGAAAACATTTCAGTGGAAATATAGAGATAGATGAACTTAAGCGAAAATTGAGGTTTTTAAAGCGTGTAAAGCGAACGAGTATTCTCTGTTGGAATAATACGTTAAATGGTAATTAGTGAAAATAATATCGGCGAGTATGGTATAATTTTCCGTGATCTTTCACTCACCCTTGAAGCCCTTTTCCGGGAAGGTGACCTCGGGGTTGCTCGCGTCCGCCGTTACGTCTGCCTCGTTTTCTATCGGCGTATCGATCTGAAATCAAACAAAAATTTTATGAAATTAATAAAAACAAAAGGGTGTTTGAATTTTTTTCTCGAAAATGGGTAGGAATTCGAGGGTAGGTCTATTCACCAAAAATTATTGTAAATGACCCCTGCAAACGAATATAATTTTTTTAGAACGATTTGAAATTTTTCAATTTTCTCGAAAAATTTCATACATTCTCGAATTTTTTTCTCGAAACTGGGTAGGATTTCGGGGTTAAGTCTAATAACCAAAATTGATCGTAACTGACCCCTGAAACCGGCAATAATTTTTTCAGAATGATTTGAAATTTTTCAATTTTGTCGAAGAATTTCATACATTCTCGAATTTTTTTCTCCAAAATGCGCAAGATTTCAGGGATATGTATAATGACCAAAACTGATTATAATTGACCCCTGAAACCGAATATAATTTTTTCAGAATGATTTGGAATTTTTCAATTTTGTCGAAAAATTTCATACCTTCTCGAATTTTTTCCCCGAAAATGGATAGGATTTCGAGGGTACGTGTATTCATAAAAAATGATTGTAATTGACACCTGCAACCGAAAATAATTTTTTTAGGACGATTCAAAAAATTTCTTTTTCACCGAAAAATTCCAGCAGCAACCCCTGTCAATATTTCTTGGAAATTCGTTTTCCATTTTTAATAATCTTGTTTGCCGCCCTACAGAAAAGATGTCTAATACTTTTTTATATGTACCCATCAGCTCTACGTCAGAAAAAAGTTTCATTGAAATATGTTCACTATTGTAGGAATTATGGCCGTTTGAAAATTGGACCATTGTTATGGGGTTTTTCTAATTTTACGGTGTCAAGGGACAATTTTTTCACTATTATTAGAATTCCCACATATTCTTCGCCAAAATACGCGTTGTTTGCCCGTTGAAACATTAAAATCCTTCAATCCGTTCAGAAGTTATGACATTTTAAAGATTCGCATGAAATTTTCGGGCCATAAATTACATTTTCGATTAGGAATTTTTTTTCTCGAAAATTGGTAGGATTTCGGGGGTATGTCTAATGACCAAAATTGATTGTAATTGACCCATGCGATGGAAAATAATTTTTTTAGAACGATTCGAAATATTTTAATTTTGTCAAAAAATTTCATACATTCTCGAATTTTTTTCTCCAAAATGCGCAAGATTTCGGGGATATGTATAATGACCAAAACTGATTATAATTCACCCCTGAAACCGAATATAATTTTTTCAGAATGATTTGGAATTTTTCAATTTTGTCGAAAAATTTCATAGATTCTCGAATTTTTTTCTCAAAAATGCGCAAGATTTCGGGGATATGTATAATGACCAAAACTGATTATAATTCACCCCTGAAACCTAATATAATTTTTTCAGAACGATTTGAAATTTTTGAATTTTCTCGAAAAATTTCATACCTTCTCGAATTTTTTCCCCGAAAATGGATAGGATTTCGAGGGTATGTGTATTCACCAAAAATGATTGTAATTGGTCCCTTCAGCTGAATATAATTTTTTCAGAACGATTAGAAATTTTTCAATTTTGTCGAAAAATTTCATACCTTCTCGAATTTTTTCCCCGAAAATGGATAGGATTTCGAGGGTACGTGTATTCATAAAAAATGATTGTAATTGACACCTGCAACCGAAAATAATTTTTTTAGGACGATTCAAAAAATTTCTTTTTCACCGAAAAATTCCAGCAGCAACCCCTGTCAATATTTCTTGGAAATTCGTTTTCCATTTTTAATAATCTTGTTTGCCGCCCTACAGAAAAGATGTCTAATACTTTTTTATATGTACCCATGAGCTCTACGTCAGAAAAAAGTTTCATTGAAATATGTTCACTATTGTAGGAATTATGGCCGTTTGAAAATTGGACCATTGTTATGGGGTTTTTCTAATTTTACGGGGTCAAGGGACAATTTTTTCACTATTATTAGAATTCCCACATATTCTTCGCCAAAATACGCGTTGTTTGCCCGTTGAAACATTAAAATCCTTCAATCCGTTCAGAAGTTATGACATTTTAAAGATTCGCATGAAATTTTCGGGCAACATTCTGGCCATAAATTATATTTTCGATTAGGAATTTTTTTTCTCGAAAATGGGTAGAATTTCGGTGTTAAGTCTAATGACCAAAATTGATTGCAATTGACCCCTGAAACCAACAATAATTTTTTCAGAACGATTAGAAACTTTTGAATCTTCTCGAAAAATTTCATAGATTCTCGAATTTTTTTCTCCAAAATGCGCAAGATTTCGGGGATATGTATAATGACCAAAACTGATTATAATTCACCCCTGAAACCGAATATAATTTTTTCAGAACGATTAGAAATTTTTGAATCTTCTCGAAAAATTTCATAGATTCTCGAATTTTTTTCTCGAAACTAGGTAGGATTTTGGGGTTAAGTCTAATGACCAAAAATGATTGTAATTGACCCCTGTAACTAAATATAATTTTTCTAGAATGATTTGAATTGTTTCAATTTTGTCGAAAAATTTCATAAATTCTCGAATTTTTTTCTCGAAAATGCGCAAGATTTCGGGGTTAAGTCTAATGACCAAATATGATTATAATTGACCCCTGAAACCGAAAATAATTTTTCCAGAACGATTCGAAATTTTTCAATTTCGTCGAGAATCTTTAATACGATCTTTTAATTTTCAATTAAAAATCTATTTTATTATGTTTCAAGCGACCTCATTGGCACTTGCATTGTTTTCTACGATAAAACGAAGCTCGACATACATTATTTACAACTATTTACAAAAACCAATATGGTCCTAAATGATAAAAATGAAATTTCTAACTTTGACCCCTATATTGTTTTCTAGAAACAGTTCAGGACCACTACACATGAAACCTGACGATAGATCTCGGTTGTAAAATCTCACGATAGTGTCCTCCTTGAAAAGTGCTATCGAAAGAGAGCAAAAGAGTCATGGATATTCAGCGATGCACATAAATGACACGTGTGGGCAGCTGTCGACATCCGTACGGAGTCTCTTCCCACGCGTCTTCGTGGATCACACGTGGGATCACGAGTCTCCACATGGAACTGGAGCCACGTGGATCTCTCGATCCGTTCGTTTCGTCCAGGAAACCGTCCTCGTGCATTACCAAATGTTCACGATAACACGATCTATTTATTTGCTCTGTGGATCAACCCTCCGATCGCAAGAAATCACTTGTAATCTCTACTCTTCGAAAAACTATGAAATCCAACAAGTGAATTCCTCACACAAAAATGGACGCTTCTTCGCTGAGATAATTTTTACTATACAATAATCAAAAACTAAAAATTCTCATTACTAAATTACTTTCAAGTTATTACTTGTTGAGAAAAGTCAATGCATACAGAGTATCTTTTGTTCTTGTGTGGTTTGTATCAAATAATAATAAATTCATGTATCATTCTGGTAACAATTATCTGCCTGATTTTTTCGCCACAATATTAGTTTTCTAACATTACTAATAACTACGTTGCATTGTCATTAAACTTTTGACAGCAGCGCCCCCTAGGAAGAATCCATCGACATAGATGGCGCCACCGTCGCGTGTCGCTGTAACTAGTGACCAAAAATGTACCAAAAAATGTAGATTCAAGAGGCGAAAATACGACGAAAATGAAGAATAATAATTTGTTAATTGGAGGCTTCGTTAAAAAGTTATTAACGTTTAAAGTTCCGCCACTATTGAATTTTTTTCTCGAAATTGGGTAGGATTCCGAGGTTATGTCTGATGACCAAAATTGATTGTAATTGACCCCTGAAACCGGCAATAATTTTTTCAGAATGATTTGAAATTTTTCAATTTTGTCGAAGAATTTCATACATTCTCGAATTTTTTTCTCCAAAATGCGCAAGATTTCAGGGATATGTATAATGACCAAAACTGATTATAATTGACCCCTGAAACCGAATATAATTTTTTCAGAATGATTTGGAATTTTTCAATTTTCGCGACAAATTTCATACATTCACGAATTTTTTTCTCGAAACTGGGTAGGATTTCGAGGTTACGTCTGATGACCAAAATTGATTGTAATTGACCCCTGAAACCAACAATAATTTTTTCCGAATGATTTGGAATTTTTCAATTTTCGCGACAAATTTCATACATTCACGAATTTTTTTCTCGAAACTGGGTAGGATTTCGAGGTTATGTCTGATGACCAAAATTGATTGCAATTGACCCCTGCAAACTAACATAATTTTATAAAAATAATAAACGCAAATAAATTGAATTATTCAATTTTAATTCAATTCCACATCGAATCACTTGGTAAAACCAATAAAAAAAATGCAGGGGGGCATAAATTTACGTAAATTACTTTCCGATATACAAAGGTGTCCCGTAAATAGTGTAAAAACCAGAAATGGGAGGTAGTTGAGACGATTCTGAACAATTTTCTTTGCAAAAATGTTGGCTGAGGCTTCGTTTTTGAATAATTAACAAAAAACACTGGACCAATCACATATTGACAGACTTATGATAGACGTATTAATACGATTGTCCAGCTGAATCGATTGATGTATCAAAAAATACCTTATTTCATTAAAAAAAACAAAGTTGAACTTTATGTGACCTTTGCAGGTCCACTTGCGAGAAAACTAATAATATTAGAATATGCTCCATTAGATACCATTCGAGGCTCTGTTGAAACATTTTTTGGTATAACAATAGCGAGAAAATCAGTCAAAATAGGGTGAAACACCCTTTAGCAGTGAAAGGGTTAAAAATTCATGGACTTTTATGTGAAAAATCGACGAAAGATGGCGCTACGAGTTACAAAGATCGATAAAACTATCGAATATTCAATATCAAATATCAAAAGATCGTCGATCGCGGTCGAAACGATTTCTCGGAGCGACGAAGGGGGTTTCGCGTAGGTGTAATTATGTCTCCGGGAACCCCTTTTTCCCACAGGACTAAATATAGCGAATGTCATCCGATGGCCTGGACACACATGTCTCCTATAGCCACATCTGGTTTCCTG